GTGAGTTTGCCATTTTAATAACTTTCTTTGATTACTGGTACTATGAAGTTTTAAATGTTATTGATCATCTTTATGTCTTTTTGTTAATTTCCTTTTTTTGTTTGTTTGGTTTTTTTTGAGATGGACTCTTGGTTTTGAAGCCCAGCCTAGAGTGCAATGGTGCAATCTCAGCTTACTGCAACCTCCGCCTCCTGGGTTCAAGTGATTCTCCGACCTCAGCCTCCCGAGTAACTGGGATCACAGGCGCACGCCACCACAACTGGCTAATTTTTGTATTTTTAGTAGAGGCAGCGTTTCACCATTTTGGCCAGGCTGGTCTCGAACTCCTGACCTCAAGTGATCCACCCATCTCGGCTTCCCAAAGTGCTGGGATTACAGTCCTGAGCCGCCTGTGCCCAAATATTATTTTGGTAAATACTTGAGTGCGTGCTGTGTTTACTAGTGACACAGGACAGATAAGTATCTTGCTCTCTTTGAGGTACCTTATAGTGAGACGAGGTAGCCATCTTTTGGTTAATTTCAGGTTCAGAATCTGTGGCTTACTTTCAATTGGAGTTCTTTGAAACTTAAAAGTTCTATAATAGTAATTATTTTAGAAACTGTTTTTTAATTTGGAAAATAAGGCAGTGTTCCCATGATTTAGTGTGATGATATCTCTGAAATACACTCCCCTCCTGCCTCCTGCCCCTTTATCGTTTTAAAGAAATCTGTGTCACTTGCTGGAATGTGGCTGCAACTGGTAGGTAACCCAGTTTTACAGAAAATTGCTTTGAGCAATACTGTCTCTGCTCCCTCTACCTGTATCTCAAGCATTCCAGGTGTATGTTAATTTCAAAACTTAGATCTAGTCAGGACTTACAGTAACAGGATTAAGTATGTTCTGCTTAAGTCATGGTGTACAGGAAAAACTTGTCTCTTACCCTTTGCAGTTCTAGCAGTGGTATTACACTCAGCCTTTCTGTCAGTATTAATTTCTTACTTTTTGTATTCTGGAGGTTAGGGAGAGAGTGAAACCTCTTATCTTTGATTTTGCTGTTTATTTTCTAATTTGCTATTTCAGTTCTTTTTTTTTTTTTTTTTTTAAATGTGGTACAATTCCAAACTGTATTTTTAAATAGTCCTGTACCATTGGTAAAATTAGATAGACGCTTTGAAGTTTTAAGTACATTTAGCTCTTCGAGATTTGTTTTTAAAATGACTCGTTTCATATTCAGTATGAAGTTTTATATTCTCTTGAGAGTTGAAAAATCTGTTTTTGTTGTATTGTTGAAATAGTCTTTGATTTGCTGTGGATCCTTCCCTTTTCCTTGTGTTGGGATCTTTTTAAAACTTACCCTTTCACAACTTAGGTTAGTGGGTATGGTTTAATGAAATGGAAGCAACCCCTGGACACTTGTCTTCCACCTTCCATCCTTGTGATCTTAGCAAATCATCATTATGTTTGAGTCTGTTTGGCAAGATGGTATAGAGCTAGAATTCTATACTTATCAACTATGTGCCCCTGGGCAAGACGCCCTTTCTTGAATTCTTTATCTGTAAAATAGGGTAGAAGGGTTGTCAAGATTAAATGACAGAATGCATGTTAAGGACAGTGTCTGACAAGGTATTATAAAGGTCATGTACGAAAATGTATGTAAAAGCAGTTAAGTAAATGCTAGGTGGATGTATAGGTATGATGGATAAATTTGTAATCCTGATAATGAGCATTTACTTTTCACAGCTAATATTTGGATGTCAGATAACCTATATTAGCCATTTTTTTTTATTGATACAGGAAATAAAAATCCACTATTAACATTTTATAGTAGTTATCTTAAAATCAAATAATTTTCCTTTTACAGTTGTTCTACTAAAAGTTTCTGTTTATTTCCTATAGTACCCAAATGTAAATGAATACCAGCACTATATTCTGCAGTTTAAAACTGAGCTTCACCGTCATGCTGAGGCAGCTATATTCAGTTTAAGGCTGGCTCAATACTGGGTGATGCAGTTATGAAGAAAGGAAAATGTTTTCAATTATTAAATGAGGATGATATTTTTAGATGTCACCAAAATCCCAAATTGATACCTCCACTCTTGACCTCTTTCCAGAGTCCTATATCTCCAGCTGCTTATTGGATATTTCCACTTGGATATTTTTGCTTTTATTTCAAACTCAATACGTCTAAAACAGTTTTCGATCTTGCCTTTAGAATTGGTGCTGCCTCTGATTTTTATTTTTCTATTAGTGATATCACTGTTTCCCTCAAAATGTAGGCTTGGTTATTCTTGATTTCCATCTTTACCCCCCTCTTTGCTTTATTCCTGGGTATGTTTTGTCGTTAGCAGTTGGTCTCTTATGTTCTGTACTTTCCATTTTCGCTATTGCCTTTGAACTTGCATTTCCTTATCTCTATACAGCAGTTGTCTCTCTCTGATTTTTATAGCTATCAATATTAAATACCAGATTGTTTCAAAACATCAGTCTTAATGTGACACTCTCCTGTGAAACTGTCAGCACCTCCTTGTTAGCTAGTATACCAAGGCCTTGTGTTTAAAAGATAAATATTTCTTTCAAGCCTTCATCACCAGCCTCTCCCATTCCAGCTTTACCTCTTAGTGCTTTCCCATATGAACCCTTTCCTCCACCCAGATTGTTCAATTTGGTGTCTCTTCACATTTTTTTTACCCTCCTCTTTCTCTCATCTTTCTCCTTACATTTAGAAAGACTCTTTTTTCTGACTAAAATTCTGCCTATTCTTGCGATTCTGTTTTTTCTTTTTTAAGATGAAGTTCTGTCCCCTCACTGTGATGCTCCCCCTTCTGAACTCTTCAGTACTTAATTGTTTATTTCCTTCATTTGGTGCTTAATCATTTCCTCCTTAGTATTGTCTCTAATTTCTGAATTGCTTAACTCTATCTGTCTGTCTGTTTAGAGTTTTGTAAATTACTGGCCCCTTGAGGGTGGAGAGATTATTTCTAATTCCTTGAATTCCTTAGAACCATGCTGGTATAGAAAGTGAACATTCAAGGCTGGGCACAGTGACCTGTAATCCCAGCACTTTGGGAGGCCAAGGTGGGTGGATCACGAGGTCAGAAGTTCGAGATCAGCCTGCCCAACATGTCGAAACCCCGTTTCTACTAAAAACACAAAAATCAGCTGGGCGTTGGTGGTGAGCACCTGTAGTCCCAGCTACTTGGGAGGCTGAGACAGGAGAATTGCTTGAACCCGGGAGGTGGAGGTTGCAGTAACCTGAGATTAGGCCTTTGTACTCCAGCTTGGATGACAAGAGTGAGACTCCATCTAAAAAAAAAAAAAAAAGAAAAAAAATGAACATGCAATAATTATTATAATATTGTGTGATGAAGATTTTTTTTTAGCAGTAGGAACTTTTTAAAAAACGTTAAGGTGAAAATTGTTAAGGAGTATATTAATACTTTGTGAACAGATTTCTCAAAGTACCGGTTTTGGTTAGTACTGTGGCGTTGTTGAGCTTATATTAAAGCTGCTTATTAGGAAACAGCTAAGATCAGTGATGGGGTGGCTGGCTTCAGAACCTTACTTTCCAGAGAGAAGGCAGGTGAGGGACTGGCTAAGTCTCAGGACAGAGCTATCAGGCTCTATAATTGCAGCTCCGTGTTAACCTCTAACTCAGAAGCCCCACCTCTGGGGGACATACCTCATTCTTGTCCTGCTTCCATGAGAAGCATTGAGCCCAGGTAAGAAATGGAGAGGAAGAGATACAGAGTAGAATAGGCAAGAAAACTTGTAAAACACTGAGAAGTATTTTGTTTCTCTTGTTTGTTTTGGTAATTTTGCTGCCATCAAATACATATGCCTGTGCTTAAGTTGATTTGGGAGCAGACTTTGGGAAAGTCGGAGTGGACATTGGAATAGTAGGGTTACATTCTTTTTTTTTTTTTTTTTTTTGAGACGGAGACTTGCTCTGTTGCCAGACTGGAGTGCAGTGGCGTGATCTCGGCTCACTGCAACCTCCACCTCCCAGGTTCAAGCAATTCCCCTGCCTCAGTCTACCGAGTAGCTGGGACTACAGGTGTGCGCCACCATGCCTGGCTAATTTTTTAAAATACATATATTTTAGTAGAGATGGGGTTTCACCTTATTGGCCAGGATGGTCTCAATCTCCTGACCTCGTGATCCGCCCACCTCCGTCTCCCAAAGTGCGGGGATTACAGGCCTGAGCCACTGCGCCCGGCTAGCTTGGCATTCTTAAAGGGAAGCGGCTAGCAGGAAAGAAAAGGTTTGGAGGAGATTTTGGTTTCCTTCCCATCTCCCATTTCTAAACTACTACTTGTGTCTTAGTCGTACTTGTCAGTTGGATGCCCAGGAAGTCTTTTTCAGGTAGGATGGGGAGTGGTCAGTGGTAGTGTGGAGATATCAGTGGTTTACTAGTGTAAGGAATTTTTTAGAGTAGATCTCTCCTAAACAATTGCAGTAATTCCTTCTCAGTGGTGTCAGCAAGCTAATAAGCACAAAGGAAGAGATGGTAGGAGTCTTGAGGCAAAGAGATAGAATAAGTTAGGCAATCTCTGTTCTGCAGCTCATCAGGTGTAAAACTGGGCAAATGATTTTGTATTCTCAGGTGGCAAGGACTAGCAGTCTCCTGAAATACCTATTGTGGTGCATTTCCATGTTGACCGCTTGCTTGTGAAGAGTGTCATTGAAATTAGTTTTTGGAATCTTAGAATTCATTCTGTAGATTTGACTTATGAATGTGGGAATACTTTGCCAAGAGCTGCTAGACTCAGAAAACTTTTCTCGTCTTGTAGTCCCTTTTGGAATATACTCAGAAAATAACTTCTGTAAAGGAAATTTGTATCTTTGTCTCATTCTAGATTATATGTCAAGGTCTAATGAATCATCTTTTCAGTTAAAAGGTTATTGCTATTTTCTTAGAGGGAATCTTAAATTTTGTGACATAAATAATAATTATTAAATAAATTTTGAGTTTCTTTTGATAAAAGTCTTGTAAGAGAATTTTTTCCATTAATCTTTATAGAAAATGTACCAGAGGAACTTCGAGAACCATTTTACACAGATCAATATGACCAGGAACACATCAAACCACCTGTTGTTAATTTGCTTCTATCGGCTGAACTATACTGTCGTGCTGGGAGTCTCATTCTCAAGAGTGATGCTGCAAAACCCCTTTTGGGCCATGATGCTGTAATCCAGGCTTTAGCGCAGAAAGGTCTTTATGTCACTGACCAGGAAAAATTGGTAACTGAACGAGATCTCCACAAGAAACCCATACAGATGGTGAGTCTTTATATACCCAAGATTATTTTAAGTTTGAAGTGTGTACTTTTGAGTGTGAATGATATACTGTAAAACAAAAGGAAATGTTTTGAAATTGGATTGTTTTTGCCTAGAGTTTAAAAATCATCTTTTTCTTAACCTTGTTTCCAAATTAGGAAGATTTTAACTATTTTGGAATGTTCAGTGCCATCTAATACCTGGGAGAAGCAACTACATAATTCCCAACTACCTTAATGTAATTTTAGTTAAAAACTTTTATTTTTTCCATCGAGGCTAGCAGATGGTAAATGCATCCTTGACTTCATCATTAAGAAAGAGTTGAGATTAATAAGTGCTCCTTTACATATTTAAATAACTTCTTGGTAAATTTCTGCATATCAGATATTTTCGTTTATTTAATAGCTTTGAACTCATTCTTGTAGAAAACAGAACGCCTCTAAGCTGGCCTGGAGCAATCATGCAGGAATTCTCTCATACATAGGTAGTCTCAGGAGACATAAATCTAAATGTTTAAGTTCATCACATGCTGGTTCAGTCCATTGTACTGCTTTAACTTGAGTTTTACAAAATGTGGACATCATCAAGAATGATAGTAGAAAGAAAAGTGGTTTTTCATACTCAAATTATGTCATAATGTAATCAAAGACTAGTAGTCTTGCTTGGGAGGAAGGTAAGGGGTATATGTAGGAAAGTATATTATAAAATTTATGAAATTATGAAATTTAGGAAAGTGAACAAAAATTATTTATTAAATCTATTACTAAGTGAGATGCTGACCTATTTTGTTTTCTGCTTTTTTTCTTTATTTTAATATTTCTAAGTAATGGAAAATAATGTATCAAACAATTTAGTTAATGAAATTTAGTTACAGATTTACAATATAGTTTTTAAGGATAACTAGAATGTTTATTATCCAGTATGAGATTGTCATCTTTCATTGATGGCTCCAGAATCACCTTATAGTTACCCTCTGACTTTGGCATACCTGCTTTGCATACATATCATATGTGAACAGTTTGCCTACACCAGACATAAGCAGAATCTACTTAGGTGTGTTTTAATTGTATACTTTCAACTTTTGTCACAATTTGATTTAAAGTTTTTCAATTGCTGTGGCATTTTGATTGATGATATGTAATATTACTATTTTCCTGAAACCTGTGTGAGAAAATTTCTCAGATTACTAGTAAAAAGTTGTTCCTTAAGAAACTATTTTTTTAAAGAGTAAAGTAAGAGTTAATGTAATTTATCAGGTTTTTTTCCTTGCTTTTTGGGAAGTATCATGAAAAATAGTGTGTTTAATTGTACTGAATATATTGACCCCTCCCCTTTCTACCTCTAAATTATCTTAAATTTGGGATATTTTATTTCTGTATGCCAGCCTTTGGGAAAAAAAGTGGTGGTAGCAAAAGATCATCCTGATTTTTCAAGAAATAATGTTAGTACTAATTCTTTTTCATCAAAGTCTCAGACAGTATAAAACTTCCCAGTAAAAAATGTATATGAAAACAGCAATTCTTAGAAGAATTTACACTAAACTGTTAACTTTGGTTTCTTCTGTGAACTGGGATTAAAATAGGATTGGAGAAATAAATGGTAACTTTCATTTCTTATTTAATAGATTTCTGCACTATTAACATTTTTATATGATTTTACTATTTTAAAATAAAATGTAGAGAAGAAATTTAAATTCAAATAGAAATTATCATTATCTGAAGTAACATGCCTTGTATGTATAGTAAGTATTTATATTTCTTATAGTTAAATTTTTAAAGAGAAATAAGTATCCTGCTTTTAGCCTTTAAACAGACATAGGAAGTAAGAGTAAATATTTAAGACCTCTCTAAATGGTTAAATTCAAGTATCCCGTAAATGGCGATTCAAACCTTTAAGTTATCTTTTCTATATTTCCTTTTAGTAATGAGTCTTTAAAAAGAAAAGATGTATGACTAAGGCAAGTTTGGCTGATAAGCAGATTGTATGATTAATTTTGGGCTGGAGATTGAGATTGAGAGGAATGTTTTTGTTTTGAGAAGTCATGTGGGAGAGTATTTTTCTTTTTTTTTTGGAGACCGAGTCTCACTCTGTTGCCCAGGCTAGAGTGCAATGGTGCGATCTCAGCTCACTGCATATTCTGCCTCCCAGATTCAAGCAATTATCTTGCTTCAGCCTCCTGAGTACCTGGTATTACAGGCGAATGCCACCACGCCCAGCTAATTTTTGTATTTTTAGTACAGATGGGATTTCACCATGTTGACCAGGCTGATCTTGAGCTCCTAACCTTGTGATCTGCCCATCTTGGCTTCCCAAAGTGATGGGATTACAGGCGTGAGCCACCACACCTGGCTATATTTTATGTTCTATGTATGCAGCTGACCACTGACACCTCCACTTGAATGATTTTTTTTTTTTTTTTTTTTTTTTTGAGATTGAGTCTCACTATTAACTGGGCTGGTGGAGTGATTTTTTTAACTTGAATGATTTTTTTTTTTTTTTGAGATGGAGTCTCACTATTAGCTGCAGCCTGGGCTGCCGTGCAATGGCGCGATCTCGGCTCACTGCAACCTCCATCTCCTGGGTTCCAACAGTTCTGCCTCAGCCTCCTGAGTAGCTATTACAGGTGCCTGCCCCCACCCCCAATTTTTGTATTTTTGGTATAGACAGGGTTTCACCATGTTGCCCAGGCTGATCTCGAGCTCCTGACCTCAGGTGATTCACCCGCCTCGGCTTCTCAAAGTGCTGAGATTACAGGTGTGAGCCACTGCTCCCGGCTGAATGATGTTTGAACTAAAAATCTAATGAGGAAGAAGACTGGGAAAAAACTAATTAGCATGAAATAAGTGCTCCAACTTTAAGGAATAGACATTGGGATCTTAGAGGTGGATGTGATCATCTCTGCTAGGGAGGATCAGGGAAGCCATCATAGGGTAGAATGATAAATGGGATTTCAGTAGTTGGGAAAAGGGGTGGGAGGAGAGTGGTAACTGGGTAGAAGTAATTGTTTGACTCGAGTTTGAACTTTGAAGGTATGTTAAATATTAGAAATTAAAGTATTAACTGCATGGCGGAATCAATGTGAGATGAGGCTAAAAAATAATTTAGAGTTAGATCATGAAGAAGCTGTAAGTCTGAACTAAGGATTTTTAACTTTTTATGGGTTACAGGATCATGGAATAGATTTTCGTACTATATTGCAAAACACCTGGAAACACTGAACTGAGCCACTATACTGTCAGCTTAGTGTAAATAATTACTGCAGTCTGTTAATTCTCAGATTTTATCTGTTGTTTATGAGAATATTAAGTAGTTCTTTTTTTTTTTTCAAGACAGGATCTCACTCTGTTGCCCAGGCTAGAGTGCAGTGGCATGATCACAACTCACTGTAGCCTCAACCCGCAGGGCTCAGGTGACTCTCCCACCTCAGCCTGCTGGGTAGCTGGGTCTGCAGACATTCACCACCACACCTGGCCAATGTTTTAAATTATTTTTGTAGAGACAGGGTCTCCCACCTGGGCGTGGTGGCACATGCCTGTAATCCCAGCACTTTGGGAGGCCGAGGAGGGTGAATCATTTGAAGTCCGGGGTTTGGGACCAGCCTGGCCAACATGGTGAAACCCCCTCTCTACTAAAAATGCAAAAAAAAAAAAATAGCTGGGTGTGATGGTGGGCTCCTGTAGTCCCAGCTACTGGAGGTTTAGGCAGGACACTCGAGAAGGTGGAGGTTGCAGTGAGCCGAGATTGCGCCACTGCACTCCAGCCTGGGCGACTGAGCGAGACTCTGTCTCAAAAAAATAAATAAATAAAATAAAAATTAAAAATAAAAAAAGAGACAGGAGACTATGTTGCCCATGCTTGTCTCAAATTCCTGGGCTATGCTGGGATGACACCTGGCCTGTCTGATAGCTCTTTTCATTTAGTTTAGTATGTGCCAGGCAGTGCGCTTACACTTGAACACTCTATCTTATGTAATTTAATTTTTTTTTTTTTTTTTTTTAATAAGATGGGGTTTCACCATGTTGGTCAGGCTGATCTTGAACTCCCGACCTCAGGTGATTCGCCCGCCTTGACCTCCAAAGTGCTTGGATTACAGGCGTGAGCCACCATGCCTGGCCTACGTAATTCAATTCTTACAACTCCAAGAGAAGAGGGTTATCCCTGTTCTGTTGATGAAGAAACTGAGGCTTTGAGAACATAACTAAGGTCACAGAGCAAGTATGGTAATAGTGAGGCAGGATTCTGAAACATCTCTGCTTTAACTATAAATCGTATGTTCTTTTTTGTTTTTTTTTTCTTATTTTATTTCTCTTTTATCTGATAACAGGATAAATCCTATGTTCTTAACTACTAAGTTGTATTTTTGTCTGCCTAGGTAATAGGTAGATGAGAAGTAGGGAGGTAGAAGGAAATAGAAATGGTGTGCTACCCGGAAAACTGCTTGGTGGTTTGTTTGGGGTGGATATGAGTTAATTGATACAGTATTTAAGAATATGCAGTCTGGGTGCGGTGGCTCATGCCTATAATCCCAGCACTTTGGGAGGCTGAGGCGGGCAAATCACTTGAGATCAGGAGTTCGAGACTGGCCAACATGGTGAAACCCCATCTCTACTAAAAATACGAAAAAAGTTAGCTGGGCATGGTGGCTCAAGTCTGTAATCCCAATTACTTGGGAGGCTGAAATGAGAGAATTGCTTGAACCGGGAGGCAGAGGTTGCAGTGAGCCGAGATTGTGCCAGTGCACTCCAGCCTAGGCAACAGAGTGAGACTCCGTCTCAAAAAAAAAAAAAAAAAGAATAGTCAGAGTAAGTCTCTAGTCTCTAGTTACCATTGTTTTTGTTGGATACACAAAATGTATCAGGAACAGAGAAACCAATCCAGGAACTCTGTGTTGTCCCTCTTTTTTTTTTTTTTAACATATCAGTCCTATTTGGCAGCTATGCTTATGAATTTCCATGGTGTCCCCATCTGTTGGAACTCAAGTGTAATTTACTCATGTAGAGATT